CCAACTCAATTCAGCTACTGAGACAAACTGGAGTCAGATGGAGACCCCAAGCGGACTGCAGCGTCTGAAGGGGGTGGGGCGCAACCCATCAGTGGCTTTCAGGTTGTGGAAGAAACAAAGGTAAGTGACCACTATCATCTGACAGGAGATGATTATCCGAGTGAGTCACTTACCTGGTGTAACAGTTCAGTCCAATCCTCTGAGAGAGGCGAGACCAAACCTACTGCAGCTCAGAGCCGTCCAAAGTGTCTCCGATGCAGCAACCCCAGTGAGCAGGCAGGAATCCAATCCAGGTCAGAGAAACAGCTCAGAATCAGACAGTTCCGAGATCCAGGAATCTCTAGTCTGACAAGGGGTTCTGATCCAAACGAAACAAACAGATCCAGGGTTCCAGGAATCCTCAGAGCGTGAAGATGGTTTCAGAGTTCTATGAGTCCAGCAGAATGCTCCAACATACATGCTCAGATGGAGACAGGCAGGCTCAGTGGTAGAAGGGAACATAGACAAGACATGGTACCAGGATAAATGCCAAACTTTAAACTGGTCTCCACCTTGGAGCCAGGTTTATGGGAATTAAAACTGACCTCCCCCGTGTTACGAGCCAAGGCCCTAAGGGCTCCACGGAGAAGGACCAGAACCCACATTCCCCCTGCATACCGAATCAAAACCCTGAGGGCTCAGCGGAGAAGAGCTGGCATGGGACACGATCAGGAGACAGGAGACAAACACAAAATCCTCTCAATCCACTGGCCTCCAAGAGTCAGGACATGCACCAGGAACTTAACTCTCATGAAACAAACATGAATAACTAACACAACAACACAACATGAACAAACTAAGAATACATGAATAGACAAATACACAAGAAATACACAAATAATGATCATGCCCCAATAGTTGGCCTGAACTGTATATATAGCAGAGCAGGTGAATATGATTAATGATAATTAGAGAAGGGAGAGGGAACGGCAGGTGAATAAAGTGAGTAATCAGATCAGCTACCGGAGCTGCAAGCATGACAGTATTACTTCCTACAAGTTAGATGTGTTAGCTTCTGTAAAAGAATTTCACATTTTATTCTAACAGGTTTATCTTTTATGTAAGCTTGTTACATTTTTATGAAGCCAGAAACAGTATTATGTACACTTATGCTAAAGAACAGGATGGTGACTTCTTGAGAAAAACAGTAAGATGATTCATAACCTAGGATGCATAACTACAGAACACTATTCAGAATGAGGGACAGCTATTGTAAAATTAGAACATAGTCTTTATGCAAGCAGCCTTGATCCAATCAACAAAAGTTTTTTTTTTATGTCTGAAAAATAGGAAAATGATTTCAATATTCAGCATAATAAAAAGATACATTTATAATTTCCATTTTGCTTAATGTAGATGATGCCCAGCCTTAGAGTACTACAAAACATATAACAGCTTTAACACTTTGACCTTTTTCACATTGTAACCATAGGTTCAATATATATGTGACAGATCAACAAAAGCTAGTATAAAGGCGAAGGAAATGATTTGTGTTTTTTATATTATTTTTATCAAAAAAGTGAAAAGAATGAATGGGTATTCTCAACTTTCATATTCAATTGCATTCAGAGGTCAGTCTATCATATAGAGTCCTTTTATATCAGTATTATTATAGCCGTTCTGTGTTGGTCTTAAAGCTTTGAGAACTTAGGAGAAAGAGACCAATCATACCAGGAATAATGTATGAGAAGTTTGAAGCTGGATGAGGTTTATTTCATTAAATACAGAGGGCGTAACCTGTAATGGACCACTTACATTCATCATCCAAAAGTTGGAGGAGTATCGCACAAATGCAAACTGACAAAGACATGCTAAAAGAAAGAGATAAAAAAAAGTCAAACTTCAACACAAGTATATAGGGGACAAAGCAAACGTGTTGCTCTGATCAGATGAGACCATCCCGACAGATTTGTGAATAGACATACCTTCACCAGAGGTGAGTGGTAACTAGTTACATTTACTCAGTTACACATAGGTAACTTAAAAATATACTTTTAAGATTAGTTCTATGGCATTGCCCTTATTAATTTCACTTGAGTAAAACTATTATAAAATATCACTACTCTTACTTGAGTAAAATTTTTGGTATCCATTATGACTACTTTCAATTAATAAAAACAAGCTTGTTTTAAACAAATATGCACCATCAAGAGACACATTTATGTTTTGTTATTTATGTTTTGTTCTTATTGTTTAAATGTTATTTTCCATCTGCTGAGTCTGCCATGTCATTTGGAAGTTTAGTAAAAATATTGTAATATAGTAAGTATTTACAAGTTTTATAACTCTAAACATTTTTTTTGAAGAGTGTTCATTACAACTATTTGTATTGTATATGTAATTACTGTATGTTATATGTTTATTTTTATCTTATTCTTTGAAACACCGGAATGTGAATATTACATCATTTTATAAAATATTAAATTGGTTGTTATTAATTAATTTTCCTTTTCGGATTGATTGAATTGAATTGAAAGACCATGGGAAGTATCTAGTTCAGTTACTTAGGTAGCCTTTTTACCAGATCCTTTTTTACTCTTACATGAGTAATTTCTTCAAAGACTACTTTTTACTTTTACTTGAGTTCAAATCTGATAAAGCACTACTACCTGTATTTTAGGTAAAACTTTTGGGTGCTCTACCCACCCTGACCTTCAACAGGAAACTTTTCCTTCAGAACTGCAACACAGAAATAAATGAGCCAAGCTCTGAAATATGGAGATAAAAGGAGACAAGGGAGAAAAAATAAGACAAGAATCACTTTAAAAATCTTCTTTTTTGCTGCTTCCGGAAAAAAAAGATATGCTGCACAAATGATCATAACCTCTGTGGAAACAAAAAAATTGGCCTTTTGGGATCTTGTTGTATTCCAAAACTTTTAGGTCTGCTTGAAATAGCAAAAAAAATTAACAAAAAAACAAACAAACAAACAAACAAAAAAAAAAAATATTAAAGAAAATTTTTGAGATGAGGGACTTTCACTCCCAAATTATGTGTGTTAAAGAGTAGTGCCACTGAGCTTTCAGTCTGTGCCACTGACTTCAGCAGACACCATGATGCCTTAAGCCGGGGTTATCAGAGCCTGTGCAAGAGAAAGATTAAGAGCAGACTGCCTCTGCAACTCTCCCACACAGCAACATTTAAGATGGTTGAAATATGAATGATTGATGAAGTGCATTGTGCTTTCTTCTTTCATAGAAATAAGACCAAATTATATTTCCAGACAGTTTCATGAACTTAAAGCTAGGGAAATGCTGCTTACAATTTGTCGATTCATTAGTCAGCGTTAGAATTGACCACAGACTCATTCAGGATATATATATATATATATATATATATATATATATATATATATATATATATATATATATATATATATATATATATATATATATATATATATATATATATATATATATAACTTAAATAACAGTAACTCAGTGAATGTACGATGGCAACATGTGCTTGTGGCTGTATTTTTTTAGAAGGGTTCAACTAGTCTTTACCATGCCATCTAAACTACTTTTTTAAGATAAACACAATGAGGACCTACATGCTTTATGTGATTTTAAATGATTAAAAAAATGTCAAAGAAGCAGAGTCTCATGACACAGAGCGTGTTCTGTCAAAGAAGCAGAATGTTTAGTTCAACCATTCACTTTTGAATGGTTTGACTCAACCATTCAAAGCTTGGGAGAAAAATATCATAGTTCGGTTTTTAGTTAGCAGCAACTTCTGCTCCTGCTTATGGAATAACATCTGCGCAGTGTCCACTGGCCTCAATTAGGGTTGGTTTAAAAAAGAAAATGTAAATAGATTTTATTTACAGCTGTCAGGCAGCTGTAGCTTCAGATATTAGCATATGTAGTGTATGTATTGCACTTTCATCTCCACAGTTCCTTTCCTGTCTTATGAATAATCACCACTTTCTAAAGAAGATTCATGCATTCATCAGCTATAGGGTCAGACCATTCCAGTCACTCCAGCTCTTTGTGTGCTACATCGGAGATCTAACACTGGTTAATGAAACACAGTGAAACTTGGGTTTTTCCACAGCAGTTTCAAAGAAAATTATTATTTATTTTATTATAAAGACAGAAATAAACTACTAATTTCTTGATGGGTGCAAAATCAATAATTCCCAACACAACTGTTGGTCAGATAAAATAAAATAAAAATCATAAACTTTCCACGCCTTAAACTACATGCAATCTACAGAGCCAACTGGTCCCCACAAGTATCTGCAATCCCCCACAATGTATACACACATAATTATGCAGATATTGTTATACAGTTAACTTCTTATGTGGCATTACCGCTGTACCTCTTAGCAAAAAAGGTGCATCTTTGTCTTAAAGCCATGCCCAACATCCTCCTACTCTAAAAAAGAAAAGAAAAACAAGCACGAAAAGCACCTGAAAGGGTGTGTTAAATATTAAGCTGTCTTGAGGATGGAGGCATCAACCTCTCCAGACAACAGATGCATCCAAATGTAAGCGGAGCAGCAGTAGTTTGCTGCAGATGTTGGAACACTCAAAAGGGATGTAACAGCACGTCAGATTTATGATTTGAGTGCTCATTAATTTCTCGACAAATGTTAAATATTTTAAGCAATAATATAGCCTATCCTCTTTAAGTGCAGTTGATTATTGTAATAACTACCAAGCAACAATGATCTATTTGATCAAATTTGGTGTCAATTTACAGCAGTTCAGATATGCCATAAAAGTTACTACAGGAATACACCTGTTTCTTACATAATATAACTGAGTATGCTTCTTTCCGCCTCTGTTCCCCTGTCTATCAGAGAAAAGAGAGAAGAAAAGAGAGAGAGAGAGAGGGGAGAGGGTGGGGGGTATTTTGATTCCAACAGTAGCTCATGAGCTATCTGGAAATACCTTGCTATTATATCGCTGTATTTTATTACATACTTATGAGTATGTTATGAGATTTAAGGCAGAAGAGTATTTCCCTTGTGGACTCTAATCAGCACCAAGGACAGCACCTGATTTTACCGGAGCGCTGCGTCAGGGTCCCTTTTCCTTTTGGAGAGCTTAGAGCAACAGCTCAGCCTGATCCTGACGATGAGCTCAGCGGTCTAATGGGAAAACTTTTATCTCTATTTAGTTATCAGTCCGTCTTTTTATGATTTTTTAAGTGTAGATATGTAGCCAGTATGGAGTGACGCATGAAGCTCAGGCGGAGGACTTAATTTTTTTTCCAAGTCACAGATAATTTGCATCAGGGAATGACATTTTTGAAGATCCACGGAAATACAAAGTAAAATGTCTGGAGAATTAACCGACAACAATAATGAAGGCTCTGTCGGGACTGTCCACTCTTTGTCTCCTAACTTTAGCTGTGTTTCCAATACTTCCAACTGCTCACAGGCTGAATTTCAAATGTCGGACTTTACCAAAACCGATTTCATCGGAGACGGTGCCGCTTTTGTTAGGATTATCATCTCTGTGATCTACTCTTTGGTTTGTGCGCTGGGTTTGGTCGGAAACTTGTTGGTTTTGTACCTAATGAAGTCCAAACAAGTGTGGAAGAAATCTTCCATCAACCTGTTTGTTACTAGTTTGGCGGTGACTGACTTCCAGTTCGTCCTGACTTTGCCCTTCTGGGCTGTGGAGAACGCGCTGGACTTCACCTGGCCCTTCGGAAAAGCCATGTGTAAGATAGTATCCTATGTCACGGCCATGAACATGTACGCCAGCGTGTTTTTCCTGACGGCCATGAGCGTAGCAAGGTACTGTTCCCTCGCCTCTGCGCTGAAAGGCAGACGGCGGCGCACACGCTGCTGCCCAGCCCGCTGCGTCTCGGTCTTCATCTGGTTCGCCGCGGTCTCCGCCGCTCTTCCCCACGCGGTTTTCTCAACAACCGCCACCGTGTCCAACGAGGACTTGTGTCTAGTGAAATTCCCGGAGACGAACGGTTCAGCGCAGTTTTGGCTGGGACTCTATCAATCTCAGAAAGTGCTGCTGGGCTTTTTGGTGCCTCTTGGAATCATCACAGCTTGCTACCTTCTACTTTTGCGCTTTATCACCTCTAAAAACATCAACACCTCCAGCGCCAAACGACGCGCAAAGGTTACAAGATCAGTCACCATCGTAGTTCTGTCATTTTTCCTCTGCTGGCTGCCCAACCAGGCGATCACAGCCTGGGGCATCCTAATAAAACTCAACGTTGTTCACTTTACTTATGAGTACTACACCATGCAGGTGTACGTTTTCCCTGTGTCAGTGTGCCTGGCGCACTCCAACAGCTGCCTGAACCCCATCCTGTACTGTTTGATGCGTAGAGAGTTCAGGAAAGCGCTCAAAAACCTCTTCTGGCGCATGACCTCTCCGACTATGACCACCATCAGACCGATCACAGGCACCACAAAGCCAGAGATGAACGAACAAGGGCAGCCGTTGGTTCCTGGCAATGGGCCAGGCATGGCTGAGGTGGTCTTCTTTCCTCCGGGGGCTGTGATCTACAACGACCGACGCGACCTGCCGCAAAACAGCACATAGTCAGAACAGCTCTGTCATTACATCAACAGTTACTGCTTCTGAAGGTATTTGGACTGTATTTGATAGGGTCTACTTAAGCATTTAAAACATCTAGAAATGTCAACTCTGAGTTAAATATTTCCAAACTGACAGTGGCGGTTCTAGACCAAATATACCAGGGGACCAGAGTGTTTTCTTGGGGGCACAGAAAAGCATGAAATAAAAAGAACAGGGGAAGGGATTCAAATATATTAAGATAGCTGCATGAAGTGAACTTAGGTTTAAATAGGTTTAATTAAAATTCTGTGTCTTTTAAGGTCAATATACATTCAGAATTTGGGAATTTTACATATTTTTGACTTAATTTAAGTAAAATTACAGTTTTCTATAAAATCTGAATTAGAACTCAAGAAAAAAAAAAGATAAATTCAGATATAAAAATTAGAGCTAGTAGTTTTGAAAAAGACAAACATTTAGGACATTAAAACTGGGATCCTATCTCAATCCCACTCAAGCTATCAGCTTATTGTTTTTAATTAATAAGTAAAACAGAATTTGTAAAGAAAAAAAGGAAATGGATCCAAAGAAGCTATCAGTAACCATGTATGTTCCAGTGCATAGCACCATTAGAATTTCTTTGAGAATTATGTCTTCAGTACAGGGGCCAGGACATGAGCTACAAGGGCACTGGCTCCTGTTGGCCCCTGTCTAGAACCGCCCATGCAAACTAAACAGATCCTAATTTAGACTCATCAAATGTGTATTCAGTAATATCCCTGCTTCCTTCGAAACATTAAAAGTAGGAGCTTTCTAAGGGTCCCGTTTATACCGGAACACAGCCATCAGGAATGGACTCATGCATCCTGGCTGATAAATAAAGATTACTGAAGCAACAAAAAAACAACATTTTGTGCATGTCTACAATAAGGCTTTGATGTGTTTTGCTGTTTGATGTTCTGATATAATGTTAAAATGTTAAATGTGAAAGTAAAGTGCATCATCAACCTATGGCAGAACTGTTCCCTTCATGCTGGCATTCATTGTTGAACAATATCATGTAAATGTGTCTTAGTTTGAGTATGAAGAAGGATGTAATAAGGAGCTGTGTTACAACATTAAGTGATGTTGAATAAAAAATGATTGCATATCATAAAGGCAAGTGTACTTTTGATTAATTTATTTTGTTTGCAGGGGAACAATGGTTAAAAAAAAAAAACATTAAAGATAAGAAATACATGAATAAGGAATGGACCAAAACGTCTGCCCATATGTTAAACATTGTTAATTAAATGTTTAACATATGGGCAGCTGGTGCCGTGAGTTATAAAAATATTGAAAATATATCCTGAATAGATATCTTTCATTTTAGCTTATTTGTCTTTTAAAAATAACAATATTTAAGCAGATCTTAAACATATGTTTCATTAAGACCGTATCTGCAATGTGTTTCATTGATCAGATGTAGAATTCTAATCATCTAAGAAAAAAAAAATGTGATTAGGTTAATCTAGAAAATCGTCATAATGATGGAAACATTTGCCTGGAAATATTATGGGTAATTAAATTATTGAATATTTTCACCCTTTCAGTTAGTGAAAATAAAGGGTTCAATAATATTATAACTTAATTAGATGCACCTGATATGATATATATTTTTAATATCAGGCAGGATTATGGGAGCAGTATCTTGGATAAGCTGCAGCTTCTCAAAAATCTGAAAAATCCCTTTTTTAAGTAAACACTTTATTCTGAAGATTTTTTTTTTTTTTTTACATAGCAGTAGTCAGATACCACTAGGTCGTATGTGCTTAGTATAGTCAGAGGCAGTATATTAAAAATGTTATGCAATTGAATTGAATTTGTCGTGGCCTGAAAATTAAGCCTTGAAGAATTCTAAATGAAAACTTAAATTTATCTTCAGCAAATTTTGAATTATACCCAGTCTGTCAGCAAGATCTGAACTAATAGAACTAATAATAACAGTCAGTAATAGATGATCAGCTGTGACAAATGAGATAATGAGATCAGACATTTTAGTCATGTCACTGATAAAGTGTGTATCATTTAAAACTTATAGCTATCAATGTCTGTCAGGGTTATAACAAAAAATAAATAAAACAGAAATAACTGCACATATTATGCTTTTCTTGACAAAAAGAGGGAAACTTGTTTCATTTTTTTCTTTCAGAAATTGATAATCCAGAGACTTTGAATACTGTAGAAACACCTAAAACCCTGCAAGTACAGAAAAAGCTATTAAGAAACAACCATTTATAACATTATCTGATTATTCTCTCAGTTTCAGTTAAACTGAATTTGGCATTTGTTAAAAATGGAGATATCTAATTGTATCCAGTCAATCCAATTAACAGAGGTGCAGAAGCATTTATGCATTGTAGTATGGGAATAATAAAATGCAAGCAGTCTTGCATTGCTCAAATCTAGAAATGAATGCATATAAAGACCAATCCTTAAAAGGTATAATCTCTAATCATAAGAAATAAAGGTGTTCTAAAGACAAAGCAAAGTACAGCTCATATCAGATAATCTAGTTTGAATCCAGGTGGAAGACAAAAGAAAAAAAGGATCAGTGACCTTTAATGAACCAGACACAGCTTATCACCACCAGAAAATGCAATGCTGAAGATGCCACTTTCTCCCTTCAGTGGAAAACACACAAAACCAGAAAGATATTCATGTTCTCCAACTAATGCTATCTTAACGGCAGAACTGTCTGTTTTAATAGACAGGTTCACTTTCTATTAACAGAAAGTCAGTGTTTAGTAGCTACAAAGTATGACATGATCATTGGATGGTGTGTCCTACATGCACACAGATTTAAACACATGTTTGATTATAACACAGAGATTTAATCTGTTGGTCAAATTAACAGTCGAATTCCAACAACAAACTGCAATGTATTTAAATTGGGTCTCAAATGAAGTCAAGGGAATAAGAATGCGGGGTTTCACAAGCGTTCTCTAAATGAAATATAAGAAAAGTGTGTTTAATCTCTACACAAATAGCCAAATAAAATCAGCTTCTACTAACTGCTCACCAATAACTTTTTTAAGCAAAATCTCAGAATAATTCCTGCTGTTATTTGACCTCGGTCGTTTGAAAGAGAATGCAACATCATGGAGACTAAAGAAACACTCCAGGCAGGTCAGAAACACTGTAGCGGTGAAGTTTAAAGCATGGTTAGGTTATTAAACCATGGTCCTGCGCCGATGATTTCACAGAGGACTGCTAAGACTATCATCTGGAAATTTTCAAAGCACAAGGCACTACTTCAAATCCACCAAGGGGGTCATTCACCTCAGGAGAGGCTTCCGGGGTCCGAATGAGGTAGGAAAAACTGTTAACCATCAGGGCAAATATTTGTTATTCCCACCACAAATTTAGCCATTTGAGACTGACAAGAAGAAACAACAAACATTTCATAGTATACCACATTGAAAATATGTAAAAGCAGTTGCTCTAGTCATCTGACATCACAATTGAACTTCTGCTATACTTAAAAAAACACTGGTTTTAGTAGACTGCAAACACTGCACACGGCTATGAACACACAATCACCAGGATGAAAAATAGTGGTGGCAGCATCATGCTGTGGCGTGGAGATATAGGAAGATGCAGGAAGAAGATGAGGTGAAGTCTGGTTCTGAAAAAAATGCATGCCACATTTTTCAGTTTTTATCTTTGAAATCATTTTAAACCATGTGATTTTTTTATTCCCACTGAATTAAATTTAAGTTCATAGTTGTAGAATTAATTGAAATAAATCACAGGACACTGTGATTTATTTATCACTCTAATAGCTCCAGGATTTTATTATTTATAAAGGTTTTGTTTGGGGTTTTTTCCACACACACACACACACACCCACATACTCGTTCTGTCGTAGTGAGGACCATGTGTTTACTACCATTGACTTCCATTGATTTTCAGTCATTTTCACCCCTTTCTATGCCCTAACCCTGAAACTAACCCTAAACGTAACCATTATCAATGCATACCTCACCCTAACTCTAACCCAAATTGGCACCTTAGCCCTAAACCTAACCATTAGCAAAATAGCATGTGAGGACCGGCAAAATGTCCTCACTTAGCAATAACTGGTACTCAATTTGATGGTGAAATTGGAAAAATGGTCCCCACTCTGAGGGCTAGTCAGGTATACACACACACAAACAAAATAAGTTTCTGATTGTCCTGGATAATCTCATGGAGCAAGATGTTTTTTATACAATCAGAAGAACAGTAGTTGTTACTGTTGCAACTGTGAGCTCCCGTGAATGAAAAAGGGCTGCAACATAAGAGCAGGTTTCTTGTCTATCGCCTTGCAGCCTGGAGACAGAGACACTGTGTAATGAGCAGCACAGAAGCGTAACTTCAAAGTGATACTGCATAACATGGCCTTTAATAAGTCCCTCCATTTTCTTACAAAATTATGCATTTTTTGCCATCTATGGTAGACTTAAATATCCTACTTTCTAGAAGTTTCATGCCACAAGAAACCATAAATGCATGGTTGATTGTTTTAAAAATCCTGGAAAATATGATGTTTCAATGTATAACTGTTTGGTGACCTGTTCCTATTTTTGAAATAGGTAATCAGGTAAATGGGATAAATCCACTTATTTCTGATGTAAATGTTAGTTTTTCTTAACCATCCGATTACTTTGACACCCTAGTGTATAAGATTTGCATGCTATAAAAAAGAAAACAAAGACAGTAAAGTAAAATAACACCCACCTAATGATAGCTTCTCATCTGCTGCACATGCAAATAAAAGCATAAACACAGACAGTTATGTAAATTCATAGGTTTGCTTTTGGGGTTTATTCACCAGGACAGATAAAAGCAGCACAAAGTAATGCACTTTTGCACTGATTTTTTGTTGTTTTTAACTTTCATTATATTATGACAACACTGTTTAGTGCTCAAATGATAACTAATAAATACTGGAATTAATAATGGAAATCAATACTTAGTTTTGGGCAAAGAGAGTTTGGAATAATGAAAAAAAATCTCCTCAAATTGTACAACTTTCCTACGCAAAAACCATAAAATAAATGTCTCCTCTTTCAGATAAAAAAGCTTACGTCAATTCCACTTTTATAGCTGCTTTGTTAATAATAGAGACTACATGTCACTGAGCACATCTTCCTGGGCAAACACAGGGAGGCTCATCAATGCGGATCACCTCACTTCGGAGAACCCA